AAATGGCGCAACTGTGATGTCTAATACAGTAGATGAACTACTTGAAAACAAATTTCAGCCAAAAGGGAACTCGACAAAAAGTCCCACTGCCTACTAGAAGCTTCAATAGCGAACCTTGGGAGGCTGTAATGCCGTGTAGACGGGTATTCCGCCGACAGCTAGTGTCATAGGAGTGTAGCAGTCGAAGGACGGCTCAATAATTATCACTTCGTCTCCACGGTCGACAACAGCAAAGAATGCGGTGGAAAGGCATCCATAGGCACCGACAGAGATGAGGATCTCGGTCAGAGGATTGATTTCGCGCGATGCAGAGAAAGTGGTGGCCTTCAGATGCGACGGACAAGGTCCAGAAACAGCCTCGTTATGGCGAGTGAGGGGTGTGTAGACTTTGGAGAGCGCCTCGACAAGAGCGACCTGGCCCTGTTTAAACATCAGTAAAAACTGGTTACTTAAATAGGTACAGTAGACAGGTATGTTTGGCTTTCAGGTGCGAAAGAGAATTTTGTCAGAGGTGCCTTACGATTCAATCAGTGAAATCGAGGGAACAACTGCAGACAGGGCATATATTGCTAATCAATCCCAACTGCAGACAGCGAGTGCTACGTTTCATACCATTCAAAAGACACTTCTTACAATAACTGACTTAATTCGTGAAGTATCGTGATCAGAATTTGAGCTGGTAGTTCGGCATACATTAAGAGTTGTTCTTTTTGTTTGTTGAATCGATGAGGCTTAAAATGCCTTTTACTAAATAATGCGTTCTAATCTGTTTTCTTGAAGGAAAATAGGCTGTTTATTTAAAAGTTGGACCTTTCCGGATATCTAATTAATTTCCTACGCCATTTAACGTTATGTCAAAACTTATCGCGATATAAAATCAAATGCATATAAGCAAGAAACCTTTCGAATAAATCTCTTCTAGAAATCTGATCTTACTTTAATAAAAATCAGGCGGAGGCATTGTTTTCTAGAAATATGAAGGGAATTCAGCTTTGTAAATTGTTGACGCATAAAACGTATAAAACGCAGTAATACATTTGTATACAGTAGTTTATTTCACCCCACCAAAAAGTTGATCACACAAGCAAGTACATACTGGGTACCCGAGACATGTTGTAACCTTTCGGTGGCACACCGTACGATAAAGATGTCAAAGCACGTCCTGTCGGACGTTGATTAAGAGCGCATATGGAAACCAGTCGCCGAAAAGCATCGGCGTATTAGTCACTTTCTAATATTTTTAATATTAGCTAAGCCAAGTCCTGGAGAATTATTGACAATAAAAAAGTGCCTCTAATCAAGCAAGGCTAGCCAAATCAGTCTACAAACAGGCAGAATGGTGCGTTTATTCGCCCTAAACTAAATTGTGTGCGCCTCAGAAAGACTTACAGGGAGCATTCGTGAACGTTCTCTCTTTGTGTGCATAATAAGAAAAATGAAGGAATTTGGCCTTCATCAGCTAAACGCGATGACTTTATTCTGGCAAGTATTTACTTTTGTGATGAGGCCATATTTTTAGTATAAGTTTCCAAAATTGGCTCAGGTGGTCATTTATGCGAAGAACGTCCACTGAGAACATATCGTGCCTACAGAAAAGTTCAAGAAATGTCAACGCCTGCCGAATGCGGAGAGCGATCAAGCCCACAGTTGGCAATGAAGACCATAAATATTTAGGTGTTCCCCGACGTCGTAAAAACGCCTTCGATTATAACAGCACTTGCCGAAGTCATCGTTGTAGGATAGTGCTTCTGTTCACCGCTTGAAGGCAATGATACCGATTTAG